TGCATTTACAAACTTAACATCTAAAATTTGATATTTACATTTATAATAATGTGTTGAATCCTGATTTACCTATGAATCACACCATAAGGAATATAGCATGAAAAAAGAGAAAAATGAGAGTGAACAATTGTCATGTTGACATTTCTTGTCATTTTTGGCTAATTTGGTTATCCAATGTATATAAAATGATATTTAAATTTATATGAGAGAAAGTGCATTATATTGATGGTACATTTTGCACTTGTTTTAACATGGGTTGCGCGGAGTATTCTTGATATTTTACAGGTATGAGTCTTTCGCCCGGTTGTTCTCTGGCTCTGTCGGTTGAAGTGGTCTAGCCTTCGACCCTTGATAATAGATGAGGGAATTTATGGACATCTCCTGAGATGCTGAGGGGCCAAGTCTTCCCTTGAGTCGATTTCTTCTTGTGTTTCTTCTTGTTGGTTTGGCTTGGATGCATCTTTTTTCTTGTTTCTGGCTAAACTACTCAGATTCAATCATTCTCTCATATTCGTGACTTTTTTGGCTTTGAAATTGTCAGCTTTAGCTCCGATGGCTGCATTAGTGGGTCTCGGTCTTATGTCAGTGGACCCTCCTTTGTCGTACTTCTCAGAACGTTAAATCTCCTCAGAATCAACGCTATAATATTTTTTTTATGTACAAATCATAAACTTATGATTAAGACTTAACCTTTGCTTCGAAATTAAATATTAAGAGTTTGGATGAGATCTTTACACTGCCTAAAAAACAGCGTGGTCCGAACCATCAACGCCGGACCTAACCGGCTGAACTAATTTATTAATTGCATATATGCCCTCAACGGCTATCTACTTTCATTCATTTGGCTATTAAATGCGCCTATGTTTTATTTCCTTGTAACTTTACTTCACAAATCAGGACACCAATCCATAAAGTAAAATAAAATAATATTTACATACATAACCCTCAATTCTCATGTATTTACATATCTAGCACCTAGACTTCAATTTTTTCATAAATATCACTTTATCTATAAATATAAATGTGCATTTTAGCTTATAGAAGTTAATATGGTGATATTTTTTTTAAAAGATTCGGGTGGTATGAATGTAAAAGAAAATAAAAATTTAAGTGTTAGATATAAAAATACAGAGGGATAGGGTGGTATGTATGTAAATGCCCCAAAAATAAACTAAATTAAATTAATTGATGTCCAAATTTGTAAGAAATAAGTCTCTAAAACTATTGATTATAAGAGATGTGATATATATCATATGTTAAAAAGCTATGGAGAGAGCCGATTGGAAATGGTTAACTTGACAGCGTCGACTGATCGGCTTAAAGGGTTGACAATTGACAGGAGAAGGCCCAGCAACGAGTGGCTCGGGTCAGCAGGGTGCAGGTTCTCTAGACAATATCAACTTTCGAAAGAGTCTTCTAAAATATAAATGGATAAATAAAAAATAATAATTTCATTTAATTTCATAATTTTAATTTTGAGTATTTGATTAAAAGGCAGTAAATGGACATATAAATTTAAAAAATATTTTGTATGTTTCAAACAAAATTTAATTTTTAGTATGTTTATGGGCAATAAATATAGTCCTGTTTGACTACTACTACTACTACTTTTATAGTATTTATGAAATAATTTAATAAGAATAAACTTTCACAATCAAATCTTTTAAAATATAATAATTATAAAAAAAACTGTAAATTTTAAATTTTTACAAGCAATTTTAGCTTGAAAATCATTACAATTAAAAAAAAATATATTTTTTACAAACAATAATTTTAAATATTTGTTTTGAAATTAATGCAATGCATGAACAAGTAATTAAAGCTCATGTAAAACTCAAATTTACATAAATTCAATAATTTTGTTATTATTTTGGAAAATTTACATACATACCCCTCAGTTCCTATGTATTTACATATTTAACACATAAACCTCTCTATTTCTATATAAGCCACTTTATCTATTTAGGTAGAGATATATTTGGTTCCATATAAAACACATGAGGAGTATAAATGTAAAAGATAAGAGGGAAGAATACTTAAAATATCAAAAAAATAGAAAGACGGATGATCAAATTATAACGTTATCAATACTTAAAAGGGGTGGTACATGACATTCTTGCTTTCTTTTTTCATCAAAGCCTGTGGTTCGAGAGCTCATCGGTTAGGCGGAGTTGGCCTTCAGTAGACTGTCTATCAGCATGTGTGGCGGTCGACAGATGATGGGTGGCGTGGGTGGATGGCTGACAATGGGTTGTCGGCGGGTTGTGAGTGGTCAGTTGGGGTTTGCCGGTTGGTCAATTGATTGTCGGTGGTCGGGCAGTCAGTTGTTTGTGTGGTGAACGACTGGCCGGCTAGCTGTGTAACCGTTGGCTGATCTCCATTGCCATCGAATCTCATCTGGATCTACATGCGCTATATTTTTTTGACATACAACTAAAATTTTTTAAAATTGTGGGAGTTTTACATACCAATCATCTAAAATTTTAGCAACCTAAACTTAAATTTTATATTTTAAGCATCCAAAACTTTATTTCATATTCAAATAAGAGTAGTCGATCGTTATATAGTTTTGGGCAGCTATTGGGTGATGGAAATTCTCTAGGGTGTAACTCAGTCGTGCTGAACTTGAGCCCTCTCAGTTTGAGTTAGAGCTTGATTAATTTTATCGAGCTCGAGTTTAATCCTACGAGTTTGAGCCGGCTTGTTTATTATAAAAGAGAAAATATAATATGAATTGAAATTAGTTTTATACTAAAATAATAAATATAGTAAGCCATTAGAAAAGAAATAATAATCGATCACTAAATATAAAATACAAAATAACATTTTAAAATATTTTAAATATTTTAAAAAAAAATCTTCAAATTTAATAGATTTTGAATATTTTATGTCATTTTTTTTTTTTTAACGAAAACTAACAAGTCGAGTTGGGACTAACTTGAGCTCGAATTATAAGTTCATCGAGTTGAGCTCAAGAGCCACTTATTAAGCCTAGCTTGAGCTTGAGCCAGCACATGAGACAGCTTCGGCCATTTACATCACTAGTTAATTGGTAAAATTTTAGTTAGGAGGATAAATTTGTTATATTTAAAAAGTTGAATGGTTAAAAGGCAAAAACTCAAGCATTGTACTAATCGTATGCAGACAGCTAGACACCCCCTGACGCGTGGGCGCTCCATCGCTCCACTGACCACTCTCATTCTCCCGGTAAAAATCACTGTAAAAAAGGCTTCGCTTCCACACTGTGGGTTTCCCGCCATTAATGCAGTGGACCAAGCCATCCTCCAACTGCCCATATATCTACAACTATCCCTCACCGATCGATCGGCGAACTCGAAGAGATGGGCGAAATGGCTGGAAAGAAGGAAGCGCCAGAGCACCCCGGTGCGATCTTGGTGTGTGTAGACTTGACGGCGGGTGGT